ATAAACGGCGGGATCGATTGACCTTCTGCATTAATCGCCTCGATCGCAGTAATCCATTCACGATTTCCAGGCTGGACTTTCTTTGGCATCCCTTGCCTTTCTGAGCTTGTAACGACCATTCCGGGCTCAATCATACCCATCATAAAGCCGGTCTCATCAAAATTCCACATATCATCTAATTGGATACCGTATTTCGCGACTGTATTCTCTACGAGGCGAAACCAGTCACGAATAATAGTAGGATCTTCGCATTTAGCTCTCTGATAGTTATATCTCCGAAATCGACGTGTCTTGAGCTCTGGTTGCCGTTGGATAAAGTTATGAACCCAGCGTATGCCAACGGGTGATACATCGCGGTCGGCAAGTAGAGAATTAGCCATTTTTTCCACAAAATCGCGGCGCGGGGGAAATCCTCGCGAATCTAGGTCAAGGACGAATTGAACTATTATCTGCTCCTCAAGATCAGATAGATTCCGTGATTTAGTGGTGATATCATGCTTTGATTGAATTCCCTGCCGGCGGCGATTTAAGGTACGGTAATTGACTTGATATATACTTGCGGCCTTCCGGCCACTTAATTTTGGGTCATTTTGGAGAGCCTGGAGGGCAAGAAGGATCCTAGCCTCATATAAAGACTCTGACATGTTGGGTGGTTGAGAATTATCTGATCAAATAGTGATAATATAAGGTGAGGGATTTTTGGGACACTCGCTTATCTGGGACACTCGCTTATCAAACACGTTACCGGATCGTGATGGCGATTATAACTACGAGATTGATATTCTATGTGTGACTGTAACTCTTGGTGCCGACCAAAACCCCTGTGAAGTCTGATCAAATAGCCACATGAGGAATATTAACCTAGAGGGCACAAGGTCTTCGTTAGGTTTTGGGTAGTTACTAGCTTCTGTCTTGTTATTACCACTATGACCCTTCTACCAGCCTTTTTACCGTTCTGCCATGATCCACTGATCCTTGCTTATGCAACATACATCCCCTATTGCGACTTCTTCGCTCGAGAACGACTAAATACGGCGAGTACGCCGCATGCTAAGCAGAGAGCGCCGCTGGAGGCGACAATATAGAACAAGAGAGCAATGGCTTTACATGTTGCGTTAGCGCCATATGCTATCATGCTATGAGCCTCATCTCCTCCCCCCGTATCCCGCGAGACGCCTGCAAGTGCCTCGCGCAGGTCTCCTTCATCATAATCGAATGACCCAAGAGCCGACTTTAGCAACGACATGCCGCGGTTTTCATAGACAGCACCTGCAATGATCAATGCCATAGAGATACCACCCATCAGGCTCATGTTCAGAAGCGCAGCGCCTTCAATTCGATCTCGGAGGTCTTTGTGAATCCGGTTCGAGATGGCGTTGCTGTGCTGAAAGTGTAGGCCAAGTCCCACGCCCACTAGAGCTGTGAGGCCCATAACCTTACTTTCGGAAACATTTGGTGCAAGAGTAGTAGCAAGGGCTGTTGCCGATCCGAGTGTGATGGCACCGCCAGCGAGGTAGATTAAACCGTAGTGCTTCACTCTTGGCAGACAAGCAGCGATGATGACCACGGTGACGATGAAAGGGAGAACAAAAGGTAAGAGACGCACGGTTTGTTGTAGCGCACTCAGCCCCTTGGAGAAGGCATAGAACAGTGGCATATAGTAGAGCATGATGGCGTAGGTAGCACCGGCGCAACCTGATGCTACCCATAGAGGTATCATATGACGCCGAGCCATGATTTTGAAGGGGACCACCTGATGACGAGGCCGCTTCTGGTAACTGCGGAGCTGTTGAACAACCCAAGCTGCAAGAACAACAGCGAACGTAGTCCAGATGGCGATACAGGGCGCCGAGCTCCATTTCCATACCGGGCCGGAGAAGGTGGCCGCGATGGCGAAGAGTACGGTTGTCGCTACTTGAAGGACGATCCCCAAGATGTCAATATCAGCAAGGCGATCTCGCAGAGGAAGATTATTGGTTTCGGGTCTGCCTGGCACAAAATTCAGGGCGCAGATGATGGCAAGGCCCAGGAAAGGTAGATTGATGAAGAAAGCCCAACGCCAGGTCGTGGCAGAGCTCTGCACAAAGGCGCTGCCTACTGGGCCTCCTACTACAAGGCCAATGGCCCACAACCCACTCATGATGCCATAAAGAAGAGGACTTTGACTGTCGGTCGCATACATGGCAAAGTATGATATGGCACTGCAATGAACATTCAGCATGCGCCACGTGGGACGGGAAACAACGGAACGAAATGGAGAGGACTAAGCTCTCACTCACCAGTTCTGGCAGATTGAGCCTCCAATCCCCATGATCGCTCGGCCAGCGATGACCGTGGAGATGTTGCCCGCCACGCCCGCCAGGGTCGCTCCAACAAAAAATATAGCGATGCTGATGATATACACGTAACGTATATTGAAAACATCGATGACGTTACGAGCAAAGGCCAATGTAGCAAAGTTGGCAAGGGAGTAAGAGAGTCCAATCCAAGGAAGAAACTCGATATGACCGAATGCCTCGTAAAGCTGTGGTTGGATGTTGGCAACGTTACTTACGTCGAACCCTGGCATGACGGTGATTAGCATTACTGATCAGCTAGCTCCCTTGGCTAAACACTTTAGGTAACATACCGTTGATGATGCAAGTTATGTAAATGGTAAGAATGGTTCCTAGTCCTATTCCAGCTTGAGGCTCGGGTGGTTGTGAATAGGAGGAACATGGCATTCTCGTCATTTTGATGTGAGCCTCGAGATGATATGCTGTCTGTTGAGCACCTTTGGACCGCACTCTTGACTTCAAAATGGTAAGAGAAAAGGGTTTTGAACAAGTAACCACACTATTTTCTTATATGGTGGGGAGGCCCAGGTGGAAGTGATAGTGGTGCTGTTTGATGCGTCCTACATCGGCTTGCCACTTTCCATTGATGTGATGGACGGTCTCAATGCTAAGTGGATCTATTGGGCTGTTTGGTAATTTATTAGAACCTGGGTTTGGTTAAAGCCCTGTCGTGGGATCTGATAGGTTGAGATGTTTCGTTATCTCAGTGTTTCTAGAGGCCGTGAACGTCCGCCTCGACGTTAGTTTCGGAGGACGTTTTCCTTACCTAGCGTTCTTGGCTAAAAGCGAGGCGTGTCGTGAGTTCATTACATGCCCAAGCAAGAAGTCACTTATCCATAGGTGAAAGTGTCCGGGTTCGGACTGGCTACTTGTGGACATTCCGTTGAGGACGTGCTATCCCGTAGACTGTACTCCGTGGAGACTCCAGCAGTAGGGGATATACTGACAGGCGAACCTACGCAGACAGCCAGAAAATATAGAAAGGTGAAGGGAAGAAAACAGAAAGAGAAGCGGGAAGAAAGGGAAGCAAGGAACACATGCTATCTCCTTATTTGGCTGCTTCGCTGATCATATATGTACAAAGCTCCGCTGAATGCATGCATTCCCCCTTCTAACGTGTCTTTCCATTTGCATACTCAGCTACAGCCCTTTCCATTCTGACTCACATGCATAAAGGTAAGTCTTCAGAGAAACCTGGCTCACTCCCTTGCTGAATGATTCAAGTTGTATCAATGCCTACGATAGATGAAGAGTTAGGGGTAGTCAGCCCTCGCTCGGTATTCATTGTTCGACTAGTCGTGCGTTTTTACAATGGCCTTCTACTCTTTGTAGCTTGGTTAGCGATTTTGTCTCTAGGGATGACAATCTTTGGCCTATCCCAACCGGACAGCTTGAGTGGCCTCGAGTTCACGGCAGCAGCTCTACTTACCAGTACCGCAATCACCGCGGTCGCCGCAGTCGCCATCACCACCATGCTTCAATTCAATTTCCGGTCGATGAAGGGTCAATACGAGAGACTGGATCTTATAATGTCTTGGGTGCCTTTGTTCTTGTTTGATGTCGTCATACTGCAAGCCATGGCGGGCTTGTTGCTTTGGCATACCAACAACTTCCCAAGCGGAGTCGTCGTGTTCTTCGCTTTCGAAGTACTGGTCTTGCTCATCGCTATGATCATAGCCTCTATTTGGGCTAGGAGAAAGATCAAATCGCTGGTCGGCATGGCCCACCTGAACACTGATGATACCGAAGGGATGGACTGGAACGATGGACCTTGTACTCCATACCAAGATGGATGCTCATGCTCCCCTCATCAGCCTTAGGTAAGGAGTGAGTTCATATGCTAGTCATACCGGGAAGAAACAGACTGGACTCGCTGGTTCGAACGTGGATCGCGGATTCTCAGATGCGAAGAGCACGAGCGGAGTTGTAAATTGCCAGATCTTAGACGTTTGAATAGGCAACTGACCTCGGGAGACATGTAGAATAGAGGTATACTCGGCTTCAATACAAGCTCTCTCACTATCTCTTTTCAAAGGACAAGTGTGTGAATGGCTGTGCGACAAACGCTACATTACAGTAATCCCCGAATAACACAGGAGCCTACAGCATATGATGTAGATGAGAAATATTGCCTGCAAACGTATCTCATATGAATGAAATAGTAAGTTGCATCATAGCTATATCTCTCTATCTGAATAGCCTTTGCTGAAACCCAGCATGCAGTTGAGCGACAAGACTTCAAGTTCAACAACGATGCTACGACCCAGTCTGTAGAGCACTACAGCACAAAGGTACTGTAATCAAAGTTCGAGTTATGATGCATTAACGTTTACAATATTAATTGGCAATGGGCTTGCCCTCGTCCGCCATAAGCTTCAATCCCAAGATAAGGCCAAGCTTGTAGGCTAAGGGTTGCGGATGCGCACCAGTCGTTCCTGACCAAGAATGACTGGTGGAAGGAGAATTATACACCGAGAGGTTGAAATCGGACCCCGGACTTACTCTATCGCATCGCGGGGTAGAATACAGACGGGGTGTTCGCGGGCAAAGGCTAGAAATCGCAGCAAGTGTACCGGGAGCGAACAGCTCTTTCGGACAGCCGAAGCGGGATTATCTTAAAGGATGATTTAGGTTCAGTCCACAGAACGCCCTCTATTATCCAGTCAGCCCTCTCTATAATTTCTTGCTTGGATTGGCTTGAAAGGTGACAAGTTGATTGAATTTCTGCTACCTAGGTCTACGTCTGCTCAAACCTGTCACTGCCGTTTCTGTTGTTACTGTTGTCGCTGCTGCTGTTGTCCTTGCCAATTACACTCAGTTCGATCATGAATCATTTCCGGGCTACTCGACGAACCTCGGTACATTCCGGAACCGCTACTTGGATCGGAAAAGGCATATCTCTCGTCGAGAGACACTGGAAACTGCTTGCAACAGTCTACTCGGTGATTGTCTTGGGTGTCATTGTCTCATGTGGGATAACCAGTACGTTGTTTTGATCTGACTGACTTCAATAAGCGCGACCATCTTGTGGCTAATCATGGAATGGACAGTTGCCATCGAGAGGCCTTCCGACTTGGTAAAGTGGTCTTGGGGAGGATTTGACGAGCGTCCAACGACCGCCAAGTGTTATCGACAGGAACGAACGGCAACGCTTCTTGCTTTTTTTCTAGGATCCTTCGGTATCGATCAGTTCTACGCCCACCACTGGCCTCTAGCTGTGTTCAAGCTGTTAACTCTCGGTGCCGGTGGGATTTGGTGGTTTGTCGACATTGTTCTCTGGACGGTAGGTGGCGTGTATGGCACGCCTGGGTGTCCGGGCGGGAGCGAGCATTCCTGGCAGTACTAGTGGGCGGCTAGTTCGATAGGTTTCTATGTCGCTGGTATGTATCTGGAAGCCACGTATATAGAAAAAGTGTTTGGCCAGCTGAGTCGGTAGTGACCAGTTATGCTATACTGTACAGTAAAGATTAAAATCGAATGTCCCTCCTTGACAGTCATTGGTTTATACCGTATAGACGTTTTGGACTGTGTTTTATTGCTTCCAAGTATTTCATACCTAGTGGCACGGTATCTACATACTCACCTGCTGATGGCGTACGTGCATGTTCAAAAAATGCAATGCGGCTTCATCGCAGATTGTCAACAACCCCTACTTTACCACCTCCAGATGCTGGTCTCCCAACGCTAGAACGAATGCTACAGTACTGTTTCGAGGGAATTGTTATTCTTCAGTTATCTCAGAATCTGGAAGCATAATAAATTCGTCTTAGTGCCAGCCAAGAGATACTCTGGCGATCGAATGCATTCCATATTGCCTATGGCTCAATTGAACGAGATTAATTACGCCATTCGTGGCAGATGTCTTCAGGCCCGTCCTCCTTAATCTACTGGGCCACACCAGCAACAGGACTGAAAGTCCTCATCTCCTTCGCTGAGGAAGTCCTGCAGGTGCTTCTCCATGTGCGTTTATCACTCGAGACAGGTTTTGTCCACGATAGTTTATAGACAAAATCAAACAGTGGTTCGCCCACTTTAGACACAAAATATCTTTCAACCTTTCAGTAAGTAAATGGCAAGATGACGACCTCGTCTGAGTTTTATCTCTAATTAATTACTTCCATAGCGACTTAGAGTCTATAGTATAGAGCAGATTGTACAGGTAGCCCCATCGTGGAGGATACAGGCGGCGCATCGACAAGATAACTGCAGATGGGTCGCTTCTGCAACCGAATGCCTGCTTAGCTGCTGCATCTTATCTACTCTTGCCGTTTCGCTGCACCATACAAGCTTTGATGTGCCGTTGACACATTTGTGTGGTTTGCAAAGGTTTTGGGGAGTTCGGGAATAAGCGATCGAATAGAGGGTAGTGGATGTTGAAGAGCTAAAGGTACGCGTCGTACAAGTGGGCGTTGAGGCCATTCTACATGCCGATCCGTTTCGACATTTCTTGCCTGGGCCCCCGGACTTCTTGGTACACCGCTGCGGTGCGAGACCATGGCTCGAGTAATGCGATGCTTGATAGAATGGTGTGATAAGCCTCTCCGCGGCTGGTTTCCCTGATGATCCTGAAATCGCCATGTGGACACCATTTGTAATTGACCGTTGTATGTTCTTGATCCCGGGTGGTCGAGTGCCGCAGGCGCATCTCCTGGCTTCAGCCGCCGATGTTTGGTGCTTCTGGTCCAGGCTGGAGCCGACACTGGTACCTCTGGTTCGCGAATAGGAGCGGGCATGAATGGTCCTGGCTCTTGGTATGCTTGATTGTGTTGTCCCTGGCCTGTCATGACCCTTTGACACATTTCTGGTTTTGGATGCAGATTCTTCTCTGAAGAGACATCCATGGATTGCAAGATAGCGGGATTGAAATACATGCTCGCGGCAGGAATCAACCCGTACTGCTGCGGCACAGTGTTGCTATAAGAAGAGAGCCCCTGGTTTCCCACAGGTTGAGCCATGCTTTGAATGCTCAGAGGGACAGGCTGATGAGTTCCGGCTTGTATGGGAAAATGGGGTGCTGTCATTGCATAGAGTCTGTCAGCTTTATCTTGGAGGCAATAGAATTGTTGACAGTATGTGCGGAATACGCAAGCATAGGAGTATGACAGTCGATACAGTTTCTTTGTGGTGCTATTGAATGGCGAAGTTATCTTGCAGTATAGCCTATTCTATCTATATGCGCAGCTGTATATATTTGACTCTAATACGATACCTATGGGACACAGAACCGTAGAGGTGTATTTTGGACGATACATGTAGCGAAGTCTTAGACGTGGGGCGGGCTCCATCCATGTGAAAGATACAGGTTGGTCCATTCTGGACGATGCGTACTGCAAACAGCAAGTTTTGGATTTCGGAAAACAACAGGATTCTACAGCAAGACTACCTGCCCTTTGAGAGATTTCCTCGACCGAGAGATCGTGGTAGTCTGGTTTGTTCTTGCCTCCAACTTGTACCGGCATCTTCAGAACTGTACTTGGGGATCTGAAAAGGCTTCGCCCTAACACCGGACATCAAGGTGCGGCACACTATGCATCGAGTGTTCCTAAGTAGTATCCTCGTCTATCTTCTCCATGCTGTGATTCCATTTGGACACTATACTAGGCCAGTGAGGTGGCAGTCTCGACGATCCCAGCACAACCAGAGGTGCCGCCTCTTGTTGGCACTCCGTTGCACTAGCCTGGCCATCAGACCGCTCAACCAGAATTCTCACGGTCTCATTGCCGAACATCACTCCTTCGAGACAATTGTATATTCTATCCTCGGACAAGCCCTTCACCATGGCGAGCGTACAGACAAAGACCAGCGCGCGGCACATGCCTATCCGGGCGATGCGTGAGGCAACAATCAGCAGGCAGTCTGATCCGAGTTTCGAACACATCCAGCGATTGAGTTCATGGATGTTTGGACGGGACGATAACCCTGTCAACAATATTTTCTGCATCCTGTCCACCTTAGCTTTGGGTAGGTCCAACCTGATCCAGTCGATCAGATCGTCCCAACGTCGCAGTGACCCTTTGACGTGGCTAGAGTATATCCTGGCAAACCTGGGCTGGGTCAACGTGCAATCTATAACCTCGAGCTTGATGCTCCTCAGCTTGTTGACGGCTGAGTATTCCAGCTTTGGGTGAAGTTGCTTCGCTTCTTGTAGAATCTCTAGAATCACCTAATTAGGCATCATCGAGCAGAAGTGACAGGTGCAAAGTGAAGACGGACCAAGTGCAATTCCAAAGTCCCTCTCGTACTCGAAACAAATCCATCCTGAGCGGGCGTCATTGTGAAATTGCCAATCTATAACGCCACAGTCTTGTAACCAGTAACTTATGAGCTCTCGTGCACCGCCAAAGGGAATCTGATAGTTTGTAAGTGATTTGAGGCACTGTGGCGGAGCATAGGTATAGGAATCGCTCTCAGAAATCGTTTACATTATATATGGGAATGTAGTAGCGTTCACTACTGCGACCAGCCGGGACATCAATAAGATGCGTCGGAAGATCCAGAGAAATCTGTGGCATGCTCTCGTGTTATCTTCTCGGGTTCCAGAGCTCTCGGGTAATGCTTTGGAGAATGAGAAGTGGAAAGAGATGATGCTACTGTCAAAGACATAAGAAAGGGAGGGTTTATTTCTTATGAAAGGGAACAGCATGTTTTGCGACAAATCAAAATCAATTCGACCATAGAAAAAAAAGGAAGAAGAAAAAAGAAAGAAAGAAAAAAAAAGGCCAATTCTAGATTTGTAAATTGAGCAATTCTGGCCACCAGCCTCTCTTTCCCAGCATGGAAAGTTGAAGCACGTATGCTCCCTCACCTATAATCGATCGAGCCAGTCCCTAAAAAGACGAACTTCACCAAGCTAACATATAGACATAACTATCTATTTTTGTGCGAAAAGAAGACCCGTCATTACTAGACCAATTACATACAGTTCAAGTCCGCCTAGGCCACGTCGTCACGGACACCGCGTCGGCATGCGCCGCTTCTCCATCTTCCTCATCGTCACTTGAGGGGATCCACAGGCAGCGGAGGTCCTCATCCTCCCCATCTTCTCGACATGGATGATTATGGGTAAACTCGATGGATATGGATATGTGATTATCCTCTTTACGATCATTCGTAGTTCTCGGCTCGACCCTGCTCTCAACGGCATGCGATAGCGAGTCGAGGGTATGACTTGTCACGGAGTCATCGATCCTGTGAATGGATTCACTACTGGGTACTTGAACGTAAAGATTTGGCGATTTATCTGGTGCCTTCACTAGCTTCTTGATCCTCTCCCATGCTTTGACTTCTTTGGTAGGGCCATACGTCTCATCCACAAGGCGGCGTCGCAGCGTTCTTTTCTTGTCAATTCTAGTGTATTCACTACGAGTCATCGATTCCTAGAGAGTTATTGATACGAACATCGCCAAACATGGCAATAATGCATATTTAAGCATTCCAAGGGATCCAAGAGGCCTTTTTCCAATTTCAGAACCTAGCTGGTCGTACAGTAAGTACTTCCCTTTTTGATATGCGACACTTTGAAGATTGGGTCTTTCGATTGAGGCGCGTCTCATCCTATTTTAGCCCCTGGATAACTGCCGTTGGTCGCAAGTCTCTCTTCGTCTGCTTCTGCGACAGGTGTAGCAGGACTTTATTCAGCATCTTGCGTTCTCTGTCCGATCTGACCAATGCATCCAGTGTAGAGCCTTCGAGACGGGAATGCTTTGGCCGGCTGGGATCACAGTACAAGTCAGTGATGGGCTTAGACACAGAGCTGTGGAATATGCATCCCCAAGTCAAGGGTGACTTTAATCTGTCACGTACGAATACTGACGATCCAGATTCACTATGGCGGTTTAAAATGCCAGTGTTTAAGTGGGGGGGAGCAGGAAATTCAGGAAGCCTACGATGACAATGAAGTCGGAAGTATTCATATACAGTATTGTAGCGCTTAGTGGTTGTTTGTAATGGTGCTCCTCTCGGTACAAGTCATCTCCACATCCTCTGTGTCCTCCTTCATATCAAAATCATCATCCGACGGCGGCCATAACACGATCGTCGGAATACACATTTCGTTATCCCTTGATGCCTCTTCATTGTCTATATCCATCGGCTCGAACTGAGCGCCAGTGTCCATCGCTTGTCCGGCCACTTGTGTATCATGTCTTCGATTAGCTTCAAATTTCTCGGTCTTCTCTTGCTGACGAAGCGTCTGAGGATTTTCTCTACGCGGAAATAGTGACTGTAGGGCAGGTGGTGACCTTACGTTCTGTTTTCGCATTAAGCCTATTATATGCATGCCAGGTTGAGAGCGGACAGGATGCGGAGGTGACAAGTTTCACATCGGCACGGCGAGCAGGGCTTAAATAGCAAACGAGTGACTTTGTTTTGGCCACATGGAACGAGACGAAGCCGACGACCTTTCTTACTTTCTAACGCTATGAGCTTGATACCGTTCATCCTGTACATGCTGCAGTCATGTTCGTCTGGTTCTGGCTTCTTCCTCCTATTCATGCCATCCATGGTCTATGTTCTGTCAGCTCTCACTCAGTATGAGTACTTGGCATAAAGACATAAGGTTGTTTCCGACATTATGAATTAGATTTTGCTAATTTCTCACATGTATTGGGACATCTACGACGACCGTCTGTGCACGCGCACTTCTCACCATACCAGATGCAGAATCAGGCTGTTCCTTAAACGGTAAGAAGCATCCCAGGTAGCGGGAGCGATTATGGAACAACGTCAGGCGCATTAGTTTTACAGTACCTAGGCCGATAAATAAATCTATTTGATCTATCGTTCCTTTCTTTCTTCTTCTACGCATCTTGTCATCTTTTTCTCTCAAGACATCCATCGAGACATCCATCGAGACATCCATCAAGACATCCATCGAGACATCCATCAAGACATCCATCGAGACATCCATCAAGACATCCATCGAGACATCCATC